TTACTTTATTAGGGAAAATATTGTTCTTACATTTTATATCATTACAACAAAATAAAGACAACAAAATAAAGACATTACTCTCAGTCACTTAATTAAAAATATCTGGTAGGAGTTTTGTTTATAAATAAAGTCCCCCATGACCACCAACCTATATATGTATGTGTTACACACTTGATGCAGACTTATGGGGGATTCAATATTTTCGGTACGAAATCATCATTATGGAGGGCATTTTGAATTTCAGGACTTTCCTGGCCTCGGACTCCATGGGACTTTCAGTACATCATTTAGAGCCTCTTGGTGAATCATGAGGAAAAATCAACTTTTAGCTGAATTTGACCTAATGCTCTAGAACTATATATTAGTTCTCTCCAGAATGTTCATTTTCAGCTCCAGAATGTTTATCTACAGCTCCTTATGAATGTCGATGTTGTGTTCCTTGGCCTTGTGAGGTTGTTTAAGCTACACTTACTAAGCTTCATAAATGCATACGTCTAAAACTTCTTGGCCTCTTGAAATATTTGATCTGTAGCTCATGGACCTCTTGAGAGGGTTGAGTTATAGCTTCTGGGTCTGTTGACATAGTTGAGATGAAACTCCTCTGCTTATTGATGGATTTGAGGTATGATTACTATGTCTGTGGTGCGGGTTGGATCACAGTGGCTATGTAATACGGGGGATGATGTATATGAATATTATATACACCGACAAGATGAAGAATTAGATACATGTGCAACATCTGGGCATTTTATTTGTAGACGTTTCGTCACTGGATGGCGAAACGTCTACACAGATACCAGACATGTTGGACATATGTCTGATTCCTCATGCCTATATATAAACAGGATATTATGCGAGTTATGATATTTTTTAAGATGTTTCGTTCTCAGGGGCTTCATAAATATAGTAACAAAAGTTTCCCAGAGGTAAGAGTTTTCATCATAATATATTTTCTCAAAACTCTGAATCATTCACAATCTCTGAAGCTTTAGCAATTTTCTTGTGTGTGTGTGTGACCTGATTTATGTGTGCATAAATAACTCGTTATGATTGTAACCAGACATTAACAAAACTTGGTGGCTAACTCCCTGAACCCATTACGTTCCTGTAATCTTTCGACTGAAGCCAACAGGATGTTTATGTCTTATCTCCTCTAAACCTAACATAGCGACCACTTTCTCTTACCTACTTGATTGGTCAATCACGAGTGACTAAAGAGTTTCACTGAGTATCTCTCTTCTACCTCTTTATACGAGGTGTTATTAAAAAGCTCGAGGTAAGCGGCGAAAAAATATGTATAGTCTTACCTAATCACTTAGATGAAGTTACTCCCTCTTAAGTACTTTCCTTGGGAGGCTACACACTGATCCCAACGCCTCTGCCACCTCACTTCTCGAAACATTTCCGGAATTCTACCTTCCTAACAGCGTCCAGCACCGTCTTTCCTAACAGCGTCCAGCACCGTCTTTCCTAACAGCGTCCAGCACCGTCTTTCCTAACAGCGTCCAGCACCGTCTTTCCTAACAGCGTCCAGCACCGTCTTTCCTAACAGCGTCCAGCACTGTCTTTCTAGTTCAGTCATCATGGTCTTGAGTCAGCAAGCAAGTAACAAATTTCACAGCCACTCGCCTCATGTACCAGTTTTCAGGCAAAATGCATTGATACGACCCCCAGCACATACAATGTATTGACACGACCCTCAGCAATTACAATTTATTGACACCACCCCCAGCATAGACAATGTATTGACACGACCCTCAGCACTTACAATGTATTGACAGGACCCTCAGCACTTACAATGTATTGACAGGACCCTCAGCACTTGCAATGTATTGACACGACCCTCAGCACTTACAATGCATTGACAGGACCCTCAGCACTTACAATGTATTGACACGACCCTTAGCACTTACAATGCATTGACAGGACCCTCAGCACTTACAATGTATTGACACGACCCTCAGCACTTACAATGTATTGACACGACCCTCAGCACTTACAATGTATTGACACGATCCTCAGCACTTACAATGCATTGACACGACCCTCAGCACTTACAATGTATTGACACGACCCTCAGCACTTACAATGTATTGACACGATCCTCAGCACTTACAATGCATTGACAGGACCCTCAGCACTTACATTGTATTGACACGACCCTCAGCACTTACAATGTACTGACACGTCCCCCAGCACTTACAATGTATTGACACGGCCCTCTGCAATTACAATGTACTGACACGACCTCCAGCACTTACAATGTATTGACACGACCCTCAGCACTTACAATGTATTGCCACGACCCTCAGCGCTTACAATGCATTGACAGGACCCTCAGCACTTACAATGTATTGACACGACCCCCAGCACGTACAATGTATTGACACGACCCTCAGCACTTACAATGTATTGACACGACCCTCAGCACTTACAATGTATTGACACGACCCCCAGCATATGCAATGTACTGACACGACCCTCAGCATTTACAATGTATTGACACGACCCCCAGCCCTTACAATGTATTGACACGACCCTCAGCACTTACAGTGTACTGACACGACCCTCAGTGCTTACAATGCATTGACAGGACCCCCAACACTTACAATGTATTGACACGACCCTCAGCACTTACAATGCATTGACAGTTCCCCCGGCACTTACAATGTATTGACACGACCCTCAGCACTTACAATGCATTGACAGGACCCCCAGCACTTACAGTGTATTGACACGACCCCCAGCACTTACAATGTATTGACAGGACCCCCATCACTTATAATGTATTAACAAGACCCCAGCACTTACAATGTATTGACTCGACCCAAGCACTTATAATGTATTGACACCACCCCCAGGACTTATAATGTATTGACACGACCCCAAGCACTTACAATGTATTGACACCACCCCCAGCACTTATAATGTATTGACACGACCCCCAGGACTTATAATGTACTGACACGACCCCAAGCACTTACAATGTATTGACACGACCCCCAGCACTTACAATGTATTGACACGACACCCAGCACTTACAATGTATTGACACGACCCCCAGGACTTACAATGTATTGACACGACCCCCAGGACTTATAATGTATTGACACAACCCTCAGCACTTATAATGTATTGAAACGACCCCAGCACTTACAATGTACTGACACGACCCCAGCACTTATAATGTACTGACACTACCCCCAGGACTTACAATGTATTGACATGACCCCCAGGACTTGTAATGTATTGACACAACCCTCAGCACTTATAATGTATTGAAACGACCCCAGCACTTACAATGTACTGACACGACCCCAGCACTTATAATGTACCGACACGACCCCCAGCACTTATAATGTACTGACACGACCCCCAGCACTTATAATGTACTGACACGGCCCCCAGCACTTATAATGTACTGCCACGACCCCCAGCACTTATAATGTACTGACACGACTCCCAACACTTATAATGTACTGACACGACCCCAGCACTTGTACTGACACGACCCCCAGCACTTATAATGCACTGACACGACCCCCAGCACTTATAATGTACTGACACGACCCCCAGCACTTATAATGTACTGACACGACCCCCAGCACTTATAATGTACTGACACGACCCCCAGCACTTATAATGTACTGACACGACCCCCAGCACTTATAATGTACTGACACGACCCCCAGCACTTATAATGTACTGACACGGCCCCCAGCACTTATAATGTACTGACACGACACCCAGCACTTATAATGTACTGACACGACACCCAGCGCTTATAATGCACTGACACGACCCCCAGCGCTTATAATGTACTGACACGACCCCCAGCGCTTATAATGTACTGACACGACCCCCAGCACTTATAAAGTACTGACACGACCCCCAGCACTTATAATGTACTGACACGACCCCCAGCACTTATAATGTACTGACACGACCCCCAGCGCTTATAATGTACTGACACGACCCCCAGCGCTTATAATGTACTGACACGACCCCCAGCGCTTGTAATGTACTGACTCGACCCCCAGCACTTATAAAGTACTGACACGACCCCCAGCACTTATAATGTACTGACACGACCCCCCAGCACTTATAATGTACTGACACGACCTCCAGCGCTTATAATGTACTGACACGACCCCCAGCGCTTATAATGTACTGACACGACCCCCAGCACTTATCAAGTACTGACACGACCCCCAGCACTTATAAAGTAATGACACGACCCCCAGCACTTATAAAGTAATGACACGACCCCCAGCACTTATAAAGTACTGACACGACCCCCAGCACTTATAAAGTACTGACACGACCCCCAGCACTTATAAAGTACTGACACGACCCCGAGCACTTATAAAGTACTGACACGACCCCCAGCACTTATAAAGTACTGACACGACCCCCAGCACTTATAAAGTACTGACACGACCCCCAGCACTTATAAAGTATACTCTGATGACAATCGTCTTGATTAACTTTCCTCACTTTTTCAATGGTGGCGTCTGTTTTTGATGCTGATGGAGAACCTGATAATTCATCTTCCTCAACTGACGCTCGTCCAATTTTGAATGAAGAAAACTTTTTAAAACAGTGTCCTAGTCATTCATCATCGCAAAATGCTTACGGAAGGATTCTGTGAGTTTTACAAGCTGTTTTACAGAGCATGAAACAGAATTAACTCACCAGGGTTGCTTTTTTTTTTTTAAATCTAGACAAGACACTGACACGACAAAAATTTACCGCCTACCTCAATGGAGTGACCAACTACAGTGAAACTCGGCAAGCTACTTTACAAACTGGTGCACCGCACAGTGTGATCTACACCGCCGATATATTTTACCCAGAAGGTTAGCGAAAATTCGAATTCGGGAACTTTTGGCTAGCATCTTGTATGAGTGGGAATGATTGGGAGCGAGTAAGACCTTCCTAGCATGGTCCAGTAGACCTCTTGCAGTACCTTTCTACCATTAAGTTCAAGATGTTCTTACGTGCTGCCGGGTGTGCACTGTCTAGGTGCATATTTCCCATACTCGTCACAGTTGGGCTTGTATCGTCCTGGTCCCAGCGTACCTGCCACCTGGTCAGCCTCGTACTGTAGTGTCTCGTTGATGCACTTTCTCGCCGCATCTTTATAATTTATAATATCAATTAGACGTCAATAAATATATCAGTTATTTTCACTTCAGATATGTGATGATACACAAAAATATTTAGAAATAATTTGATTAACTTTCAACATTCGCAACATAAATTCTGCCACAATACATGTAGTCTTAAATATACACTTGCCCGTAGCAACAACAATGCAATGCAGTAAATACTCGAAGATTAGATTTCCTGTAAATAACACATACAATATAGAGCATATAATTAGTAAACAAGAGTTAAGAAGTACTGACTTCTAGTGCAGACAGCTGTCTCGGGCTTGTAAGGTATTTTAGCAATACACTCCAGACCTGGTCCACACAGCTTGGTTGGATACTTAGCCGGGGATGATGTGTCGCACGACTCTCCCTCCTCTGAAGCAAAAAAAAAAAAAAAAAAAAAAAAAAGAAAACTTGAAACTTAAAACAATTTAGTACATGAAAATTAGACATATATGTAGTCGTGAGGATGTTCACGACTACGGTGATCTTCACGCCAGTTCCAAGGCTGAGGGACTGATTACCTCATCTTCTGTGTATAGTTCTTATCTTCCTTGAATTTGTATTGATAAAGCCACTGGATGGGAAACGTTTACAATAAAGATACCCAGATGTTGCATATGTGTCTAATTTTCATCTTGTCGGTAGTGTATACCAGTCATGTACAGTTGAGTACATAAAACTAACAGATATTCATAACTAAGCAATGAATCAGAAATGAAACTAAACGAGCGAATAACCTTGAAACATTATAAAGTCAAGGGGATGATTGCCCAGCAAGAACGACTTGTCTTGTGCCATTATAAAGTCGGGAAAAATAACGACCTAACTGGAGTAGACCAAAACGAAAGTTCAGTTTCATATCCAGGTTGTGAGTTACAGTAATTCTGAACTATTATGGCTTTTATTCTTTAAGAAATGTAAGTATAGTGAAAAACTAAATAAAAATGGTTCATAAAAATGCTAATTACTTATTTGTTGAAACAAAGTACAGAAATAAGAGCAATGCAACTTTTTATACGAATTACATTCAGAGGGCATCAACACGCTCAAATTCTCTTCCATTAAATTTAAATACTAAAATCATTCGTAAACTGCAAAAGTAAACTGATGAAATCTAAATGTTAATTAAACAAAGCTTATTCTGCTAAATCAGCTGAAAGTAAATTCTTCTCTACATAATTGCTACAAGCACACAGTTAAACAGGTCACCATGCTTGAAAGAGATGATTAACACCCACACTCTTGTAAGATACTAATGCGGTATTAGGACAATATTTATTGGGACTATAACACTAAAATAGAACACTAAAGTATGAAATAAATCATGACTTTAGCAGTGAAGATTTTTTATTTTTGGGTCGAGCCTAACTTAGAAACCTTACCTAAGCTAACTTTACATAATATTTTTAATAAAATTCTTCTAAGAACATCAAAGGATCAGTCTAAATTTATTTACTGTTACTTAATAAACATTATACTTCTTTCTTTCGTTATGTGCTTCTACAAATTTTCACTCGGCTTATTTGGCAGAAAACACACACACACACACAGACTTAGGTGGGTGGTTCTCGACAAAAAAGAACCACCCAGTCGAATTGACATTCAAGTCAGAAACGATACAAAACAAAATCCTGCAGCTGAAACCACTGTTAAAGGGTTCCAAGAGATACCAGTGAGTGTACCTCGACCATGACAGAACACAAAAAGAAATGGAACAAATGAGAGAATGAGTAAGGGCACAAATGCACGAAGGGGGGATAGGGCAGGTACTGACACACAGGAAAGCACGGCCTCTAAGAGAACAGCAAACACAACTGCCCACAGAACCACCCACAGCATCCCCTTAACCCCTACCCCTCCACACCAACGAAAAACGATGAACAGAGATGGGTTACACTTCACACATACAGTCCCCACCCCCTAGCACTAATACTGCCACACCAGCAGACTACCATAATATCCAAATCTGCCTATCACACCCACAGCCAGCACCAACCTACCCCTCCCCCCATAGAATACAGTTCTAGAAAGGAAGCTGAAAATGTGGTACACCAATGCAGATGGAATTACAAAGAAGAGTGAGAAGTGGCAGGAAAGAATCACTGAGGCATCCCCAGACATCACAGCACTCACAGAGACAAAGCTCACAGAAGTGATAACACATGCAATCTTCCTGTCTGGATATCAGATCCTGAGGAAAAATGGGGAACAGAGGTGGAGGTGGCAGAGGAGGAGTTGCACTGCTCATCAAAAACAAATGGAGTTTTGAAGAGATGGGAAGATTAGTAAGAGGAGTAGTGGATTACTACATAATAAGAACCCTTCATACTGAGGGCCCAAAAGTGATGATACACTTACCAATGTTACTGATACACTTACTAATGTTACTGATACACTTACTAATGTTACTGATACACTTACTAATCTTACTGATACACTTACTAATCTTACTGATACATTTACCAATGCTACTGATACACTTACAAATGTTACTGATACACTTACCAATGTTACTGATGCACTTACTAATGTTACTGATACACTTACTAATCTTACTGATACACTTACTAATCTTACTGATACACTTACCAATGCTACTGATACACTTACAAATGTTACTGATACACTTACCAATGTTACTGATACACTTACCAATGTTACTGATACACTTACTAATGCTACTGATACACTTACTAATGTTACTGATACACTTACAAATGTTACTGATACACTTACCAATGTTACTGATACACTTATTAATGTTACTGATACACTTACTAATGTTACTGATACACTTACTAATGTTACTGATACACTTACTAATGTTACTGATACACTTACTAATCTTACTGATACACTTACTAATCTTACTGAAACACTTACCAATGCTTACTGATACACTTACCAATGTTACTGATGCACTTACTAATGTTACTGATACACTTATCAATGTTACTGATACACTTACCAATGTTACTGATACACTTACCAATGTTACTGATACACTTACTAATGTTACTGATACACTTACCAATGTTACTGATACACTTACTAATGTTACTGATACACTTACCAATGTTACTGATATACATACCAATGTTACTGATACACTTACTAATGTTACTGATACACTTACCAATATTACTGATACACTTACTAATGTTACTGATACACTTACCAATGTTTCTGATGCACTTAACAATGTTACTGATACACTTACCAATGTTACTGATACACTTACTAATGTTACTGATACACTTACTAATGTTACTGATACACTTACCAATGTTTCTGATACACTTACTAATGTTACTGATACACTTACCAATGTTTCTGATGCACTTAACAATGTTACTGATACACTTACCAATGTTACTGATACACTTACTAATGTTACTGATACACTTACTAATGTTACTGATACACTTACCAATGTTACTGATACACTTACCAATGTTACTGATTCACTTACTAGTATTACTGATACACTTACTAATGTTACTGATACACTTACCAATGTTTCTGATGCACTTACCAATGTTACTGATATACTTAACAATGTTACTGATACACTTACTAATTTCACTGATACACTTACCAATGTTTCTGATACACTTACCAATGTTACTGATATACTTACCAATGTTACTGATACACTTACTAATGTTGCTGATACACTTACCAATGTTACTGATACACTTACCAATGTTACTGATACACTTACCAATGTTACTGATACACTTACTAGTGTTACTGATACACTTACTAATGTTACTGATACACTTACCAATGTTTCTGATGCACTTACCAATGTTACTGATATACTTAACAATGTTACTGATACACTTACTAATTTTACTGATACACTTACCAATGTTTCTAATACACTTACCAATGTTACTGATATACTTACCAATGTTACTGATATACTTACCAATGTTACTGATATACTTACCAATGTTACTGATACACTTACTAATGTTACTGATACACTTACCAATGTTACTGATACACTTACCAATGTTACTGATACACTTACCAATGTTACTGATACACTTACTAATGTTACTGATATACTTACTAATGTTACTGATACACTTACTAATGTTACAGATACACTTACCAATGTTACTGATACACTTACTAATGTTACTGATACACTTACAAATGCTACTGATACACTTACCAATGTTACTGATGCACTTACTAATGTTACTGATACACTTACTAATGTTACTGATACGCTTACCAATGTTACTGATATACTTACCAATGTTACTGATACACTTACTAGTGTTACTGATACACTTACCAATATTACTGATACACTTACTAATGTTACTGATACACTTACCAATGTTACTGATACACTTACTAGTGTTAGTGATACACTTACTAATGTTACTGATACACTTACCAATGTTACTGATATACTTAACAATGTTACTGATACACTTACTAATTTTACTGATACACTTACCAATTCTGATACATTACAATGTTACGTACTTACCAATGTTACTGATCACTTACAAGTTACTGATACACTTACCAATGTTACTGATACACTTACTAATGTTACTGATACACTTACCAATGTTACTGATATACTTACCAATGTTACTGATACACTTACTAATGTTACTGATACACTTACTAATGTTACTGATACACTTACTAATTTATGACCTTCAATTTACTGATACACTTACTAATGTTACTGATACACTTACTAATTTTACTGATACACTTACTAATTTTACTGATACACTTACTAATGTTACTGATACACTTACTAATGTTACTGATACACTTACTGATTTTACTGATACACTTACTAATGTTACTGATACACTTACTAATGTTACTGATACACTTACTAAATGTTACTGATACACTTACTAATTTTTACTGATACACTTACTAATGTTACTGATACACTTACTAATTTACTGATACACTTACTAATGTTACTGATACACTTACTAATGTTACTGATACACTTACTAATGTTACTGATACACTTACTAATTTTACTGATACACTTACTAATGTTACTGATACACTTACTAATGTTACTGATACACTTACCAATGTTACTGATACACTTACTAATGTTACTGATACACTTACTAATGTTACTGATACACTTACTAATGTTACTGATACACTTACCAATGTTACTGATGCACTTACCAATGTTACTGATACACTTACTAATGTTACTGATACACTTACTAATGTTACTGATACACTTACCAATGTTACTGATACACTTACTAATGTTACTGATACACTTACTAATGTTACTGATACACTTACTAATGTTACTGATACACTTACTAATGTACTGTTACTTACAATGTTACTGATACACTTACAATGTTACTGATACACTTACCAATGTTACTGATACACTTACTAATGTTACTGATACACTTACTAATGTTACTGATACACTTACTAATGTTACTGATACACTTACCAATGTTACTGATACACTTACTAATGTTACTGATACACTTACTAATGTTACTGATCACTTACAATGTTACTGATACACTTACAATGTTACTGATATACTTACTATGTTACTGATACACTTACAATGTACTGATACACTTACTAATGTTACTGATACACTTACCAATGTTACTGATACACTTACAATGTTACTGATACACTTACTAAATGTTACTGATACACTTACCAATGTTACTGATCACTTACAATGTTACTGATTTCACTTACCAATGTTACAGTACACTTACAATGTTTCTGATACACTTACTAAAGTGTACTAGATACACTTACCAATGTTACTGATCTCTTTACCAATGTTACTGTATAACACTTCCAATGTTACAGGTCATACAGATAGCAGTAGACTACCGATTGCACTGTACCATAGAATGTACTCACTACCCAATGTCTCTGCACTGAGTCATGTACTTTACCCTATATGTTCGATCCACATGATTAAAGGTGACCTTACTCACAATGGTTACTGTACGGCAGTTTCATACGAGGTTGACTAAGTGAGATAGGCCGGCTGGTTAGCTGCTACCCATACCAATAATTATACCATACTCCACCTACAGTACTTGTACACTACCTGTTGCGACTTCACATGTAATGGTCACGGTTGGATGTGGTAAATTAAGCTTCAATTTAGGGGTACCATTTCAAGGTTAGAAATCTAGTAAGTACCAGACGGTCAAAGTGAATGTCATCAAGCCAATCTCCAGCTGTGCTCCTGTATCCCAAACCCCCTCCATCTGCAGCTGTTGCACCGTTACAGCTTCCTCTAGTTCTGTGGTAATGCTTACAAATTACTCTGAGAGGGTAGACCGATGTTATGCAATTAAGCCAAGTCAGTAATCCAACTGTGGAAAGTGAATGCCAGTCCAGCTATCATCCAGAGCTGTCTCCTGTCATCCACCTGCTCTCCGTGCTGTGTGCATGCGTTAGCCGTCTCCAGCAGCATCTCGTGGTATAAGCCAGTCAGCCAACCCAGCTTCTTACCCAGCTGAGAGAGAGAAGTAAGCCACACAGTAAGAAGTAAGCCAAGTTCCTCTGAAGTATTTCTATATCGCTTTGTGCTTGGATGCTAAGAGTGAATTTCACCATTTCTGTGGCATAGTGGCTTATCAAGCCACCTTCGTGGGTAGTGAGTGGAGTGTGCGCCAGTGAGCGCCAGCGAGAGTCACATCCACCACCACCACTCTACTCACACCACCACCACCATCACCCACCACCAGCCATCCACCTCATCTACCTGTGGTTGTTTGCACCCTTGTACCGGGTCCTAATACTGTTTTGGCTCACATAATTGGTCAAGAGATTGTAGCTGAGCGCCGATGTTAAAGCCAATTATGTGAGTTCACCGAGAAAGCGCATTTCTTCACGACGACAGTGTGAGTGTCGGCGTCATCACCGCGCAGGACAACCTTCCTCGTCACCAGTCATCACCGTCGACTACTACAGACTTCAGTGCTAATTTTCTGTTTAGAGACATTTTTCTTGCATTTAAAGACATTTGTGTGTGTGAGACATTTATAGTGAATTTCTTGTGTACTCTAAACCTTGTGTTTTCAGTGTAGACTCAGTGTTTCTTTGACTCATTTTTTTTTTGCAATATTTCTCAGTGTTATCACTCATTTTTTGCCTTATGTCCTTGAGTAAGCTCCCTGAGATCATGTCCCAGTCACTTCTGAATGTTCACTTAGTGTATCATGCCAGTCAAAGTCAATATGAATCAGTCCACAGTACCAACATTCCCTTACTGACTGAAAGACAATACCTAGCCCTTGAGCAATGTGTTTGTTCTCACAGCTTGTATCTGAGATTTGTTAAAGTGCTGCGAAATGTGAAGTTCAGATTAAGTTCCTATAGATCCGTGAATTACTTATTAACGTAGCCGAGCGGTCAGGCACTAGTAATACTGTCACTCCTGTCTGGACTCCGTGTTTCAGATTGTGATCCCCTCCTAGTTGACAGTACTCAGTGCATTGTAAGAAGTTATTTCTCGAGTAACTTCCACGTTGTTAACGTTTGTAAGTGAAGTTTATAGCTGATACCTCGTGTCACTGTGTGCGACTCAGATTGAATATCAGCATTGTTCACCGTGTTCATTTCTTTTCTCCTGTGCTTGCAGTTTGAGATAGTAGATTCGTTCTCCCTTGCTCATATGGCGTGTTATAGCGTTAATTTTTTTTCAACCGGGGGGAGTCATCCACTCCACCGAGTTTGTTCATTCCTCCAGTAAGAAAGAACCGATCCCTTGTGTTCTGGTGTGATTCGATTCCTGCTCCAGGAAGATCTTATTCTTACTGTGAAGCCACCAGCACCCATTAGTGACTTTGTAATGAGCCAAGAATTAATTCCACAGTCTCTAGTGATTGTAGCTGTATCTTTTGTAGATACTCGTTCAGACTGTCCTCAGTCAAGGCATGTGTTAGCCATTGCAGAGGAATTCGATCCTCCCAGAGATGATAACCATTCTGCATATGTCAATCTTACCCTAGCAGAGTTGGGGTTAAATGTAAATAACCTGTATAGATGAATAATTACAGTATCAACTTATCAGTATTCAAGAATTTTTTTTTGTGTTCATGTTCTCTCCGCATTCTGAGAGTTAACAGTCTAGATTTGAGTGCACCAAATCTGCCTTTCTGTTAAACACTCTTTCTTTGTATATATTCCTTCCTCAGAATCCGTAGATCACATGAATACAGATCGATCGATCAAATTTTTTTTTATCACTTCTATTGTGTAATCCCAACGTTGAGTTTCATTCGATGAGTTGTGCTATATTATACCTTGTATTGCATTACAGTTTCAGTTACGTAAGCTTCCATTCCAATGTTCTACTTATGTATGTTATAATGTTCAATTGTTGTGTACTTTGACATTGTATAGAATCAGGCCAAGCCGTATACCTGCCATCTCTAGTTTGTATAAGTTGTATGTTGGGACGACATACGTTAGCGTCGCCGAGCTCTCAGTAGTAGTAACCAGTTACCAGCAACCAGTGTACCAGTAGATGACTCACTACCAACCGTCTCTGCCTGAGTCACTGTCTGTATTCATATTGTGCTGACCACAGCAGTATTCAAAGACCCCCTCACATATGGGTACTGTGGGCGGCCAGTCAGTCATACGAGAGTGAGCAAGGAGATAGGCTGGCTGTTTGGCGCTACCCACATTATCCGTAATTATACATACTACCAGCCTACGTGAGTATTACTTTACCCTATCCACGTGTTCGAACTCCCACATGATAGGTACACTTACCAATATTACTGATACACTTACCAATGTTACTGATACACTTACTAATTTTACTGATACACTTACCAATGTTACTGATGCACTTACCAATGTTGCTGATACACTTACTAATTTTACTGATGCACTTACTAATGTTACTGATACACTTACTAAGGTTACTGATACACTTACCAATGTTACTGATACACTTACTAATGTTACTGATACACTTACTAATGTTACTGAAACACTTACTAATGTTACTGATACACTTACTAATGTTACTGATACACTTACTAATGTTACTGATACACTTACTAATGTTACTCTTGGCTAACGCTCTCGCGTCACACGGTGAGGGCCTGGATTCGATTCCCAGCCAGAGTAGAAACATTAGGCGTGTCTCTTTCCACCTGTTGTCTATATTCATCCATCAGTAAAATGGGTACCTGGGTGTTAGTCGACTGGTGTGGGTCGCATCCTGGGACACTGACCTAATTTGCCCGACATGCGGAGCGTAACAAGGGGCTTTGTATATAGTAGTATGTCATTGTTGTCTGCTAGGCCTGTATACCATGTACATGTACTTGTAGTAAGTCAAGATATTATTATATTACTGATACACTTACCAATGTTAGTGATGCACATTAGTCCGCAGTTACATGTGACTGGGTTCAGAACTTGTTGTTGATTTTCTTCACATTTGGTCACGTTGCTATCCTGGGGTGCCATTTATTACCATCACCATTATTGTATCGCCATCATCGTCATCACCATCATCGTCACCACCAGTATCACCACATAAAAGAAATACAATAAAAAAATTGTGAATAAATGGGCCAATTATGATGTTTCTAACATGAAGCAAGTTTATTCTTTTCTCTGAGGATGAGGGTCCCCAAGACAGTTCTAGAGGTGGTACCTCCCTAAAACTAAAATGCCGGGAACAATGGGCTAGTAACCCCTTTTCCTGTAAAGATTACTAAAAAGAATAAGAAGAAGAAAATTGTCAAAGTGGGAAGTCTGAATGTGCGTGGATGTTGTGCAAATGATAAGAAAGAGATGATTGTGGATGTTATGAATGAGAAGAAACTGGATGTCCTGGCTTTAAGTGAAACAAAGCTGAAGGGGGTGGGAGAGTTTCAATGGAGAGGAATAAATGGGATTAGGTCAGGGGTTTCAAATAGAGTTAGAGCTAAAGAAGGAGTAGCAATAATGTTGAAGGATAAGCTATGGCAGGAAAAGAGG